TCTATCCTGATTGGCTATAATACGGATTATCGAATGGATTTTATATCCGACCAAAATTTGACTTTACGATATGTCTTTTCGGCAGTTTCATTTCAAAATCCTTCAAATAAGCGCTATATATATATATATATCAATGTCCTTCAATATTGCAAGCTACCCTCCAGAGTCGTAACTATTCACCTGTAATTCTCACCTTATTTATCACTTTAATCATTTGCTGTCAAGCGACTTTGACATTGCCACACGTTTAAATTCAGCTCATGAAGCTTACCCGTTTGGCGAAAGATCTTCATCGTTGGCATAACCTCCTGGACGTCCTGAAAGCGAAACCTCAAACTCGACACTTTAGCCTCAGACCGAAAGGGCATTGAAAAAGTACAAATGGATTCATGAAAGGATGATTGAACAACGATTAAAAGCTGTTTCTCTACTACTAGATCGTATATCTCACGAATAGTCGATGGGTTATAGACACAGCACAAAAATCCGGTGTTAAAGTTTCCTTCTCCCCTTTACTGCAATCGTATTGGCCAAAGAGCACTGGTCATCGAGAGGATGCAGAGTGAACAACCGCGTCCAAAATTATAGTTTCAAAGCAAAGGAGCGATTATAAAAGAACAACTTGATGACTCACTTTACATCATTTTATTAACTGGGTCACAACGCAATGGATATTTCAAACGAACTGACCGTGCCGTCGCACGTCCTGATTTTATTCGCAAACAAAAATGAGACTGGACACACCTCTTGCTCTATCTTGCAACTGCATTGTCTCTTTGCTATTTTGCTTGCTCATGTTCGGTCTGCACTCTCTCACTGATTGTTCCGAGAATGGCCAATGCTACCTTCCTCAAATGTTGATGTACTTTGAGGTCTTGCACCTAGGACTATCAAAATGCTGTTATATCTTAAGAAAAATTCCAATCCAAATGAGTTCCAAATCACTACCAAATCACTACTACCTTCGTTCGTCGTCTTCTTTCCTCAGTTTATTATTTTTTTGGCTCTGCACTACGCAGTATTTCTATTTTCTTACTTTAAAAATGCTGTGGTGTCGTTTTCTTGATTTAATTCCATTTACACTTGAATTCTAATAAGCAGACTGTGTTTCTTTGTTGTTTTGTTTTCCTT